ATTGGGATAGTCGATATTAATCGAAACCTGTGCTTTTCAATCATATACTACTTGCTAAAGGTATCGATATCGACTATCTATACTTTCCACAATGATGCCCTATCGTATAAACTTAAGAGATATATTTGTATTTAGAGATAGTGTTGCCAACCCTCCAGTTTTTGCCTGAAGTCTCCAGGAATCGGGAGTTCAACACAGACTTCAGTTTGAGGTCTGGTCTGAATATGGGGAACTCCAGGAAAAAAATTCTTAACATTTTAAAACTAAAAGTACATGTTTCTATATAAGATTATATCACTTTTGTATAATAAATAGAGTTACTTTTGATACACTAAATTAAATAATTTTACTAAAGAGTTAAACTAAATAAATAATAGTTTTAATGAAACATTTTCGATTATTTTGGACCTAAAAATAATATTTTATAAATTAATAGGATTATTGATAGTATAGCAATGTTGAAAAATATTTAATAATAATGCAATAGTATGGTTAAAATAATATAAACAGAAAATAAGGAAGTCCGAGTTATAAAAATCATTTAATTTCACTCTATTTAATATAACAAATGATAGCATAAAAAATATAATATTCCATATTATAAAAGATTCAGATCTATTTTACTATAATTTTCTATAAATTTTAAAAATTTAAAAGTGTTAATTTAGTAAACTTTAATTAAAAGTGAATTTTTATTGCATTATAATTAAATTACTATTAATTTAATTTATATAAACTCACTTTTTTCAATTAATACATTAAAATCTTCATAAATAATTGTTCAGTTAATTTAAATTAATAAACTATTTCTCCAGGATTCTCCAGGAAATTATGGCTGAATTTATGTAAATCTCCAGGGTGAAAATTTTTAGAGTTGGCAACACTATTTAGAGATAGCTTTTTCTTACAGAAAGCCTATCAAATATGGCAATGTGTTTCAATGATATTTCATCAACAGGTTTTTTTTATTAAAAGGATTTAGTTATGATTTCAGTTTTTATAACATATGTTTCTTCTCATAACTTTTTTATATTATCTCAAACATTTTAAAACATAAGCATATCGTGAGTAATCAGAATGTGTTTCACAAACATTGCTGTATATAAACTTCTGTAAATAAATATAAATGATATTTTAATGTACCGTAGTATTAATGCGATCAGCTACAAATTAACATGCAACTTATAATACTATTAAGTTGTTTGGTTTCGTGTTTGTATGCATTGAATGTTCAGAAAAATGAGTTCATAGACAAGACATCGAAAGTGAAGGATTTTGCTGAACACCAATGGTTTGTGAGGAATATTCCGTTTATTGAGATTCCGGACAAACATATAGAAGACGTGTATTACTATCGGTGGTCATCACTGAAGAGACACTTGCGATACACCATCACTGGTACGGGTTATATGATCACCGAGTTTGTCAATGATATCGGTTATGCCAACAAGTTTGGTGTAATCAACGCCGCCGGTGGACACCAGATATATGAGGCTCGTTGGCTCAGGGATACCAGATATGCCAAAGTATTGTAACATTGTCTATATTTTCCATAATTAAAATAAAAATATCGAACAAGTTTGGTGTAATCAACGCCGCCGGTGGACACCAGATATATGAGGCTCGTTGGCTCAGGGATACCAGATATGCCAAAGTATTGTAACATTGTCTATATTTTCCATAATTAAAATAAAAATATCGGTTTGAAAATGTAATATTTTTCTTGAACTAGGATTATATTAATTTCTATGCTCGTGGACTAGAAACTGGAGGTAATCATCAGTATTCTGAATGGATCGCAGACTCGGCTTATAATACATATTTGGTTAACGGAGACAAAGAGTTTATTGTCTCTCAATTGGATGGCTTTGTGAAGATATACAACGATTGGGTCGACCATTTCGAGCCTAAACTGGGTCTCTATCACATATCTCCTGAATGGGATGCTCAGGAATATTCTGCGGCATCCGTGCAAACCAAGGACCAATATCACGGGGGACTGGGTTATAGGCCGAGTCATAACTCGGAAATGTATGGCAACGCCGAAGCCATTGTAAAAATGGCACAAATGAAGGGAAATAAAGATATTGAGAATGAGTTCATAACTAAAGCCAAGGAATTGCGAGAAAATATAATTAAATATCTTTGGGACACAAACAGACTATTCTTCTTTCATATGCAAAGGTTTGTCTCAATTTTTAAAAACAATATAAAACAGAGGTATACCTGATATTTTAATCATGTAAATTTCTGAAACCTTTAAAGTATTTAAATAAAGCGTTAAAATAATAAGTATATTAGGGAAACAAGTTTAAATGTGAGCATACACATACATTTATAGCGTATTCTATTAGTTCTACGGAAATAATTTTTAAATTCTTATTTAACATGCAATAAAATGCTTACATTAGATACATTGACCTAGAGACTTTTAAATTAGTTAATTAAAAATAAATATAACTACTAAATCAATAATGATTACTAAATAAATCAAAATTATAATAAAAACTTCAAAACAGAGAGAATAACCCGAATAATACACTTCTGGACACCCGTGAGGAGGTGGGTCTCTACCCCTGGAGATTCAATGTACCGGACGGTCGCACCAACTTTTCACTCGCTTTCAGCCAATTGTTTGATTCCCAGGGCTTTGACTCCCAATACGGACCGACCACTTGTGAGATGAGGAGCAAGTGGTACGACGGCACCCAAAAGCACCAGTGCTGTTGGTGGAACGGTAACTCGTGGCCATATTCCACGGCACATATACTCAGATCCCTGGCCACACACCTCAGACAATACAGTCAACAGAATCCTA